CTCTCTCCCAAAAATCAATAAAAACATATTTTAAGAAAATGAATTCCAAATTTAAGGTTAAAAAGTCAGTTCTTATTAATTTTGATGCTATAAACATAATTAATCTCTACCTACATTGTAATAAATATTCATTTTAAAATATGACAAATAATGATTTATCTCATGTTAATGTGTCATTTGTTAAAAATTAAGAAGTTTGTTTTACTGTATTTTGTTCAATGTATTATTAAATAAATTATATATGTAATTTAAAATAAAACAAAGTAAATTTTACTTAATTTAAAATTTAAAAAAGTAAATTTTACTTAAAATCACTTTCTCATACCACACAAAAAATATATTTAAAATTAAGTAAGTTTGCACCCTGGCCAGTGCAGCTCAGTTGATTGGACATTATCCTGGGCACCAAAGGGTTGTGGGTTCAATTCCCAGTCAGGACACATGCCCAGGTTCTAGGCATGATCCCTGGCAGGGGGCGTGCAGGAGGCAGGTAATCAATGTTTTGCTCTTGCATTGATGTTTCTCTCTCTCTCTCTCTCTTTCTCTCTCCCCCCCCTTCCTCTCTCTCTAGAAAGCAATAAAAATTTTTCAAAATATTAAGTAAGTTTGGAAAATGCTCATTCTCTCTGTAAGACCTAATACACAACCTTTGGGAGACCTTTGTAAATAAAGGACTTCAGTATAGAAATTTACTTTGTTTTACTATTGTCATAAATCCCTAAAAGTAGCAAATATAAAAACTGAGGCCCAACGAGCAGAATTGCAAAGCTGTTTTTGTTTTTTTGTTTTTTTATCCTCACCCGAGGGCATTTTTCCATTTTTTGTTCAGAAAGAATGGGAGGGAGAGGGGGAGAGAGAGAGAGAGAGAGAGAGAGAGAGAGAGAGAGAGAAACACTGACATGAAAGGGACACAGCGAGTGGCTGCCACCTGCACGACTCAACCAGGGCCAGGGACAAACTGCAACCGAAGTACATGCCCTTAGCAGGAACTGAACCCGGGTCTCTCCGGACCGCAGGCCAACGCTCTAACCGCTGAGCCAAACCGGCCAGGGCTGATTCTGTTTCTTGTACAATTCCATAGTAATGTCTCTACGGAAAATTCACAAGAAGTGGTGTGCCAGATCTTCATATTTCATTTCCCTATACTCTCCTTCCATTAATTTACATTACCACCACCATAATAAGGCTAGGGAGAAAGTTTACACACTTATTTTTCACCCAGACAAATGCAACAGTTTTTCCCGCTCCAAACCGTTTCATAGTGATCATCCCTTCAGATCTCTTAATTATGACATCCCTTCACACACACACACACACACACGCCCCTTTCAGGTACTCAGGGTCTTTACAATGAGGCCAAAACTGCTGAGCCTGTGATTCAAGGTCCTCCATGATCTGACCTCAGGCTCACCTAATCTCATAACCTACTGCACCTTCAATACTCGAGTTACACATTTTTCAGAATATATCATGCCTGCTTCTGTCTCAGCTTTGACACTCAAGCTGGTCCCTTGCCAAGAATGGCTTTCCTCCCCAAATTCTTACCCAATAAAATCCCACTTGTTAAGACCCCAAGTTCAAATGTCCCCTTTTCAACCAAGCCTCCCTGTCTTTCTGATCATGTCTAAAGTCATTCATTCATTCAAGAAATATTTATGAGCACCTATGCACCAGGCACTGTGTGTATTAAAGAGTCAATGAATGCGCCAAACAAACATGGTCTCTGCATTCATAGAGCTAGTACTTATCTCACTGGGTTGCTATGAGGATTAAATGAGATAAAATATGTAAATCACTTAAAACAGGGCCTATACAGTCATGTTCAATAAATATTAGCTATTAGTGTTGCTGTTTATACTATCAAAAACATTTGCTGCATACAGATATCACTTTATATCTTACCCTGATTTCTTTCTACTTTTAAAAATGCTTTTATTGATTTTTTAGAAAGAGGGAAAGGGAGAGGGGGAGAGAGAAACATAGATGAGAGATAAACATTGATTGGCTGCCTACTGCACACTCCCTACTGGGGATTGACTCCCAACCCAGGTATGTGCCCTGACTGGAAATGGAACCAGGGACCTCTCCTTGCATGGGACAATACTCAACCAACTGACTCACACCAGCCAGGGCTCGCTCTTTCTTTCTTTCTTTTTAAATTTCTATGAGTCTTTTTGAGCCAAACTGATGACATATACTGAAAAGCAAGATATCAAAATGTCCCTGATGTATTTCTTCTTAGCATTTATAATTAGTTCTCATTACATATTTATTTATTTATTGTCTACCTTCCTCCCTCCACAGGGACTATGCCTTTTTTTTTAATCACTGTAACCCCAGTGCCTAGAACATCACATGGCCCTCATTTAGCAGATGGTCAAAATCCACCTCTGTATCAATGATTTTTATAGTCTGGGATTGGATACAGACATTAGCCAAATAATCACATCAAGAAATATAAAATTACAATTGGTATATATTTTATGTAAGAGGGTTATATAATAGAGTGTGATCAGTGTTAGGGGTAGGCAGGGTAGATGGGTTTCCTTGTGTTCCTTTAGCTGAAACTTCCAGGATATGCAGTGTTAAACTGACAAGAGAGAGTACTACCACAGGTCATTCACATGTGCTATTCCTTCCATCTGGTTTTCCACAACACAACTCCTATAATTTAATCCTTCAGTTTTCTTCCTGAAAGTAAAATCCTCTAGGAAACCATCCCTGACTATCCCATACCTTGATTCAACTTTTCCTTTCTTAGCACTCCTCACTTGAAATTACTCTTTTTCAGGGGCTCTGGCCGGGTAACACAGCTGGTTAGAGCATTATCCTGATACACCAAGGTTGTGGGTTCAATCCCCAGTCAAGGCATAGACAAGAAGCAACCAATGAATGCATAAATAAGTGGAACAACAAATCAATGTTCCTCTCTCTCCAAATCATTTATTTTTAAGCAAAGTAAAACTACTCTTCTTACTCTTCTTATGTCCACACATATATGATACAAAAAGGTAGGGGCCACATGTTTTATTACTTGTAATATCCCAATGACAACACAGTCAGTGGCACTAAAAATAACTGTTAGACGAATAAAAAGTAGAACTAATATCTTAGACTAGTGGTTCTCAAAGTGTGATTCACAGACCAGGAACATCAGCATGATATGGGTTACTCATTAGAAATGCAAACTTTCAGGCCCTATTTCAGACCCAATAAATCAAACTCTAGAACTGACTGCCTGCAAGCTCTCCAGTTGATTCGGATTCATGGTAAAGTCTGAGAGCCCCTGTCTTAGACATCTCAACTACAGTCACGCACTGCATAACAACATTTTGGTCAATAATGGACTGCATATACAACAGTGGTATATCATATAGCCTAGGGATATAGTAGGCTATACCACTAGCTTTGTGTAAGTGCACTCTATGATGATGGAACAAATACAAAATGACCTAATGATGCATTTCTCAGAACATATCCCCATTAAATTTAAGTGGGCACTGGGAATAACAGGAATAAGTAAGGTACAGCTGCTGTCTAGAAGAACTCACATCTCAGGGGGAAAAACAGTTTAACACAATGACAATGTGATCGGTTGTGAACATGAAAGGTTGTTGTGGAGACGGACACAGGAAAATGACAACCCAAAAATGCAGAGTCAGTGAATTAGAGAAAGTTCACAAATTAAATCATTTCATTATAAACCATTTTCCTAAAAAACAGATGGGGAAAAAATAGAAATTAACTAACTCCTAGGAGAACTTGATTACCAGGACTTAGATTTGACTACAATGTCTTATTCCTCCAAGAGACCAAAATATAGATTACTGCATATGATTGAGAAATATGTTCATTAAATGTACTGCAAACCATGTGTGACTCAACTCAATGAAAAACCAACTGAAGCCTCAACCTATTTTGAAACAGGAAGGAGAAGAATTGCCAATATAAGGGTCTCTCAACTAAATTCAGAGAGGGCAAAACCAATGAAGGCATTAGAAGGTATTAAAAAGAGCTGTCACAATCTGACTGCTAAGCTGATTTTCAGTCTGTAGAAGCCCTGGTCTCTGCCTCCAAACAAAAACAAATCATTTGTTCTGAGTAACAGTCAAACCTGTAAATATTTTTAAATTTTTCAAACTTGTACCTCCACATTAAAAGACCCTCAAAATAAAAAATACATTCCAAACCATTTTTAGTTATTTCTGTCAAAAGGTAACACATCTCATGAGACCATAGTATGCATGCTGGTCCCACTCCATCACTCTAAAACACACTGTCACTCAGGTTTTGCAATGACACTAGATAACAAGGCTTCGAGGCTCTCTCCAGTACCTCCAACATCGTCCTTCTCCTCTACAAAAAGAAAAGAAAGCCAGCGAATTCTCATCTGCCCGCCCTGCAGCTCCGGGAAAGCAATCGCCCTCAAATTGTTCCTGCTTAGACTCCTGAAACCCGGGGAAGGAAATGGGGACAGCTGTGAGAGCCGGGGGAGAGAGGATGGCCGATAACGGGGAGAGGAAATGTGGATGGTAGAGGACGAAGGGGAGAAATGATACGGCAAGGAGGGGGCAGTGGAGATAAAATGGTGAAAGGGGGTACGAAGCGAGAGCAAAGGGCCGGAACGAAAAATGGGGAGGAAAAGAGGTAAGTAGTAGAGATGCCCCCAAAAGGATAAAGCAAAATGGTAGAGAAGAAAAGGAAGGTCGGGTTAAAGGACGAGGACGGGGCGGCAAAGAGGATCGCGAAAGCGGCTGTCACTGGGGGTGATTAAAAAAAATAAAAGCTGGTGTCACCTGGGAGGAAAGAGAAAAGGGGGAATGTCACCCCAGCAGGTGGCCGGGGAACACCAGGAAGGAGGAGCGGGCCACCGAGGGGGCGGTAACAAGGGGGTGAGGTAAAGGCAGGGCGCAGAGAGGGGCACCAGGGCAAGGGAAGGGCAGGCCTGCGGGAGCCAGGGTGGCGGACGGCTGCGGTTCAGGCAGGCCTTGCTCCCTCACCATGGCTGTGCCAGCCTGGTCCTCGGGCATGCAGCCTCTGTCCTGGGCTCGGCGGCGGGCCGGGCCTGAGCCCGCCCCCAGGTTGAGCCGGCGCGGGGGCTCCAGGAGGCTCCGGCGAGCGGCGGCTCCGGGCTCGGCCCAGGCCTCGGCCTCCTTCCCTCAGAAGCTGGAAGTGCAGCACCGCAGCGGCAGCCCGACCCGGACCGCAGACTCCGCCCCCCGTGAGGCCCCGCCCACACTCACGAGCCCAAACTTGGCCCCGCCTCCACTCTCACTGCGCAGACTCAGCGGTGGGGTGTAAGACCCGGCACCCCACCTCTGGCTTCTCTCCGTCTTAGTCCCTTAAAGGCGTCCCATTCCCTCAAATCCCATCCCCCCTTTAAAAGTAAGAGCTTTAAGTATTACGTCGTTACGGGAGACTAGAGCACTCACTCGTTTCAGTCACATATAGACTCCTGTGCTTCTGGTTCATTGTCATTAATTACTATTATCATAATTCTTGGTGATTTCAGTTCTCTCAGATGATTATTCCAATGCCCTGACTTCTCAGATTCCTCTCCTTTAGTGATCACCCTTGCCTCAGCTTCTCATTTTCACGCTCATACCGCAGATCTTTTCATTACCAATAATTGTAACCCCTCCAAAATCTGTTTTAATCATCCCACTGCAAAATCCTTCTTTTCTAGCTCTCTTCCTCTAATAACCAACTCCAAAAATTCTTCAATTCCACCAAGACTCAAAACCCACTGACCCTACTACCTTTCCAATCTTCCTCACACTACCCTATGTCCTCACTTCCTTTCTTGAGCAGCTTAGATTCTACTGTCCATCATGAAAATCATTCCCAGGTATTAACCCTTATTCCTCCAGTTCTGCTCTCCTTTCCTCCTACTCACCTGACAAAACTCTAATCCTGAACCTGCAGCAAAATGGGGTGTGTGTCTGCGGGGAGGGGCGATGGTGGGGAGTAGAGAAAAACACAAAACCGTACTAAATGGGCTGATTGGTCTCCCTCTAAATTTGATGTCACTATCCTCAATAGGCCCCTAATGCTTGGCTATACTACTACATTTTTCCAGTTCCTTACACCCTCCCACCCTACTAGATAGCAATTTCACATCCCTCTGCAAAACTTGTTCCCTTATCCTCACTTAACTCATTATTTTACTACCAATTCACTGGGGAAATGAGGAGAGAGAGAGAGAGAGAGAGAGAGAGAGAGAGAGAGAGAGAGAGAACAGCTACAAGTTCCCACCAACCACCATGACTTCCAACTACCTATAAGTCGGCTCAGCCTGTAACTCTGCCTTCTTTTCCTTCCTACTAATGATTTGTCTTTTATGGGAGGTCAAACCTTCCTCAGTTCTTCTCAGACTATCTGGTCTAAAAGGTTTGGTTTTGTTTTTGTTTTTTTTTTTCCTTCACAATCAGTTACAAACCTATACTTTTGTAAGATTATTAGAAAATAAATTTAAAAACAGACATAAAATGTAAGTTCAAATGTTTAATTTCTTTTTTCTTTATTGATTTGAGAGCGAGAGGAAGGGAGCGTGAGAGAGAGACAGAAACATCAATAACAGAGAAGATCAGTCGGCCTCCTCCTGCATGTCCCCCACTGGGGATTGGGCCCACAACCTGGGCATATGACCTTTTGGTGCATGGATTGAAGCTCAATCACTGAGCCACACCGGCCAGGCTAAATCCAGATTTTTTAACCATTTTTCTCAAAGTGTACAATTCAGCGGCATTAAACAAGTCACATTGTTTCGCTACTATCACCACCATGGAACTTCAGAACTCTTCATCTTGCAAAATTGAAACTCCAAACCCATTAAACAATAACTTCTTGTTGCCTCCTCTCCACAACCCCTGGCAACCACCATTTTACTTTCTGTCTCTATGAATTTGACTACTCTAGGTCATATTTTTTTATTATTAGTTCTAACAGACATAAAATTTTCCTGTCAAAATGCTATTCAAATTGCTATACAGTATTTAAGTTTTAAATTTAAATATTTACTCTCAATTTCTGCCACAAATTGGTGACAAACTGTTCATAAACCATCATTTTTTTTTTCTTTTTAATCCTCACTCGAGGACATGCTTAAAGAGAGAAAGGGAGGGAGAGAGAAAGAAAGAAAAACATCGATGTGAGAGAGAAACATTGATCGGTTGTCTTCCACACACACCCCAACCGGGGATCAAACCAACAACCCAAGTGTGTGTCCTGACAGAGAAGGGAACCGGCAATCTTTCAGTATACAGGATGATGCTCAACTAACTGAGCCACTCGATCTGGGCTATTCAACAATTCTTTCTCTCTTCTATATCTTCATTTTTCTGTTTTCCTTTTCTATTGACAAACCAACATGAATTTATTTATTCCGTCTCAAAAATAAAAAATAGCCCTGGCCAGTGTGGCTCATTTGGTTGGGCGTTGTCAACCAGTACACTGAAATGCTGGTTCCATTCCCATTAATCCCTGGCTTTCAGCCTCGATCCCCAGTTGGGAATGTGCAGAAGGCAGCTGATTAATGTTTCTCTCTCTCTCTCTCTCTCCAAAAAAAAAGAAAAATCAATAAACAATTCTTTTTTTTTTTTATCCTCACCTGAGGACATTTTTCCATTTTTTGTTCAGATAGAGTGGGAGGGAGAGAGAGAGAGAGAAACATCGACGTGAAAGGGACACATCGAGTGGCTGCCACCCACACGACTAACCAGGGCCGGGAACAAACTGCAACTGAGGTATGTGCCCTTAGCGGGAACCGAACCCGGGTCTCTCTGGACCATAGGCCGATGCTCTAACCGCTGAGCCAAACCGGCCAGGGCAATAAACTATTCTTTAATAAATAAGTAAATTAATTAGATACACCTTTCTTTCTTTCTCTTTCTTTCTTTCTTTCTTTCTTTCTTTCTTTCTTTCTTTCTTTCTTTCTTTCTTTTCTTTCTTTCTTTTTCTTTTTACAATCTTCACAAGGGGATAGTTTTCCATTTATCTTCAGATAGAGTGGAAGGGAGAAAAAGGGACATTGACTGGTTGCCTCCCACACAACCTGGCCAGGGCAGGGGATCGAACAGCAACTGAGGTATATGCCCTTGAGCGGAATAGAATCCACACCTCTTTGGTCCCTGGGCCGACACTCTAACCACTGAGCAAAACCGGCCAGGGCAAATACACCTTTCTTGACCTTGCTCAGCCCTCCAGCTACTGCCTCATTTCTCTATTCTTCTTTACAACAAAATGTCTCACAAAGGTGACCTATACTGTGCTTGATGTCTTGACTTTCTTTTTCTTATTTTCTGTGGGACCTTGGTCCAGTTAAGCCTTTACCTCTACCACTGAAATGCTCTTGTCAAGGTCACCAGTGACATCCATTTATTAACAATGGTCAATTCTCAGTGTTACTTCACCAACCAAGAACACTAGACACACCTGATTATTTCCTCTTCATGTATGATACTCCTCTCCCTGGTTTTTCAGTCTCACTGGCTACTCTTGGCTTCTCCACACTTCTATGACCTCTGAATACTGCAGTCCCCTAGTTAATACTTTGACCTTTTAACTTTTTCCATTTATATTCACTCTTTGATAATCTTATCCCATCATGTTACTTTAAATATGATCTATGTAGTGATAATCCCCTCAAATGACACCTCCATTCCATACCTCTCTTCTGAATTTCAGATTTATATATCCAACTACCAATTAAACACCTTCCTTTGTATGTCTAATAGATTCCTATTATTCTTGGTAGCCACCAGTAAACTACCTTTCAAGTCCTATTGGCCATGAATAAACCAACAAATAGCAAAGGGAATAAGACCACCAATATTAGCTTAGACCAACTATGATTTATTCTCTCTCTGATCTGGGCTTCACCCTTTCTGAGGACCTGGTAGTAGTGAAGAAAATTCATCCTGCTTGGCTGGAGCATTGTCCTGATATGCCAAGGTTGTGGGTTCTGGCCCTGGCTGGGTAACTCAGTTGGTTAGAGCATCGTCCCGATACATCAAGGTTGAGGGATTGATCCCCAGTCTGGGCACACACAAGAAGCAACTGATGAATATAAAATAAGTAAAACAACAAATCTCTTTCTCTCTCTCTTCTCTGTCTCTTGAATCAAGAAAAGAAAAAAAAGCCCTGGCCGGTTTGACTCAGCGGTTAGAGCGTCGGCCTGCGGTCCAGAGAGACCCAGATTCGGTTCCCGCTAAGGTCGCGTACCTCGGTTGCAGTTTGTCCCCGGCCCTGGTTGGTCGTGCGGGTGGCAGCCACTCGATGTGTTCCTTTCATGTCGATGTTTCTCTCTCTCTCTGTTCCTCTCTCTCCCTCCCACTCTATCTGAACAAAAAATGGAAAAATGTCCTCGGGTGAGGATTAAAAAAGAAAAAGAAAAAAAAAAAAGAAAAATAACCATAAAAGAAAAAAAATCAGGGTTTTGCCATCAGTAAAGAATGGACCCATGTACACAGGCAACAGTGTGGTGATGGCCAGAGGGAAGGGAGCGGGGGGAGTTGGGCAAAAGGGGGAAAACTGGGACATCTGTAATAGTGTCAACAAATTAAAACAGAAAATTCCCTAGCCAGTTTGGCTCAGTTGTTAGATTGTTGGCCCATGGACCAAAGAGTCGCAGGTTCGATTCTGGTCAAGGGCACGTACCTCAGTTGCAGTTCAGTCCCCAGCCTTGGTCCGGGTCCTGTGGGAGGCAATCAGTCAATGTGTCTCTCTCACATAGATGTTTCTCTGTCTCTCTGTCTCTCTCTCTCTCCCTCTCACTCTATCTGAAGATAAATGGAAAAATATCCTCGGGTGAGGATTTAAAAAAAAAAAGGAGAGAAGAGGAGGAGGAGGGGGGGGAGGAGGAGGAGGAAGAGGAGGAGGAGGAGGAGGAGAAGGAGAAGGAGAGAGAAACAACACCATGGGGGGGGGGTGATAAACAGTTAATGGGGAAAAACCTACTCAGCAAATGGCCAGGTACCAAGATTTCTGTGTTTACCAGTAACGAAGAAAGAAATAAAGAATGGAGCCACAGTCAATCTGTAATCAATGAGGCAGAATAGAAAGTACAATAGTACATTCAAATATTCTTAGGTAT